GCTACAAAGCATTTCTAAATGTACAGCTAAAATAATTAGTAAAAAATTATTCTGAAAACCATTTCAATGCCCCACTCATTTGTTTTATCGCCCTGAGTTTTATCTTACTGAGTACTCAGAGCATTTAAGGCTACAGCCCCGTTCACCCATTCAGCGCTGTGTTTTATGCCTTTAGGGGCTTATTATGACTTCTTTTAACTGCCGACCTCCCCATTGGTAAATAACCTGCTCAACCTTCAGCTGTTGTTCATGAGAAAATATTCCACGGTTTCAGCTTTGCACAGTTGAAGGATGGTTTCAGTTTCTTCCAACGGTTTTAATGTAGCTTTAAAAAGTCTCCTTTGGACAAAGCTGGCTTTGGGGATTTGACATGCGTCAGTATGTTTTCTGAATTTTTACAAATCAGAATGAAGAAGGTGAATCTATCAAGGAAACAATCACTAGCTGCACTCCTGTATGAAACAATTGATTCAATTTTAATGCACAAAAACTGAATATTCATCTTCATATAAAGCGCTAAAATGAACCCATTGTCACCTCCTTCCATCAAGCTGGACAAATACATTTTGACATATACGATAAATATGAATTTTGATAAGAAACAAACATGATGTAACAATGTGCCACAGTTAATTCACCCACTGGAATGACCTCATTGCCTCCTGCAACCTGATCCTCTTACAGGAGTGTCCCTCCTCTCACAGTGGAGTCAGTTCCTCTGAACACTGGGCTGCACTCTCTCAGCACGCTTTACGCCTGTTACGTGTGAGATGAGATGTACCCGCCTTGCGCTCCTCCCCTCCCTCCTTCCTTCTCTCTCCCGCCCTCACTGGCGTGTTTTTCTCCTTTGGAATGTACCAGACAGACTCGAGGGGCTCTGCGATCGGCACAGTGAAGGGAAGCGCTGGCTACAGGCCAAGAACAAGCTCCAGCCAATCAGACAGAAGCCTGTCCAACTCTGTGCTCAGCAGTTGCCCGTCTGTTGTTTTCATGGTACAGTGTGGTTATTTACATACAATCAAAAACAGGCTGGGATGTAATGTGAGTCAGTAAGTGCCGGACTGAGGACACACCCTTAACGGTTTTGCGGCACATGACTCAGTTGCATCATGCGGTTGTGCAGCTTGTACAGATGAAAAGTGGCGATAATTTTAGGACATTGGAGGTGAAGAGGCCTCGTAAAAAGTTCCAGTAAGATAATGATGTATTTAAATGAGGCCGAAATTTGGGAAGATTCAGCTTCTGGTTACTTGAGCTCGAGGCTTGGAAATAAGACTGGTATGGACTAGTCTGGAAGCACTCTGTAGATGTCCTTCTGGGCCCTCTGTGTGGGACATGTTTCACTCTGCCACTAAACTCAACAACCAAAACGCATTTCTTCCTGAAAGTCCAAACCCTTGTGGATCATTATTGCTGGAACTGTTCAAAAACCGGGGTTTCCATGTCCCTGGCGAGTTGGGTGTTTTTCCCTGTCCACAGCAAAGACCCATTTCCCTTTCTGCTGTGGACATGCAAAGGCACATCTGTACACTGCAATTCTCCCTAATTCTTGCATAACGACAGTAGATTTATAGTTATTAAAAAGCGGAAGCCATGCCTGTTCCAGCATGTCTTACACCTACTCTTTGCACAAATGTTTCTAATAAGTACTGCTAGAACATTGGATTTAAGTGAAAGGGCTGTATGGTGAGGGCAGAGAACAGATAAAAACAACAACAACTACTTAGTCATACAGCAAGTTATTTAGAAACCAAGAAGTGACACAAGCTCTAGTGCCCAGGCTGAAAGGTCAAATCTTACATTTCAGCCTCTCCCTGTCTGAATCAAAACTACCTGATTCATATCAATACCCTTTGTTACACGTGGTTATGTAACAAGCACAAAGTGCAAGCACAGAAAGAACACAAAAGGGTTCCCTAGTGTACAAATGGAACGAGGCTGGAGCAAAACAGTCTGTGTTGCAACATTTTTTGGCAAATCGGAGAGGGATTTCTGGGTACTGGAACAATTTGATTGGCCTAGTGCGCCGTCTTTCTCTTTCTGCCCCATGCACATCCATTTCTGCCAGAGATGACATATTTCCCATCTTGTGGCTGTTTCCTTGTAAGAAGATTGTTCAGTCAAAGTTGCTTGGAAAAGGGAGCACTCTGGGGTGCTGCGACCTCCCTGCTTAGGAAAAGCATCTAACAAATGTTCAAATTAGTACAAGACTGCTGACTGTGTTTAGCTCCCTAATCTTGTTGGCCTTTGGGGGTTGTATTGATACGTGCCGCACGTGCATTATGTGAAAACACTTGCAGGCACGACTGGCTTTTCATGTATGTGGACAAATATGGTGCACAAACAGCACAGAAATGTTTCTGCAACAAATCCTGCTGCTCTGTACCCGAGGGCCTCTCACCAGGCCTGTCTCCATCCATCCATCCATCCATTTTCTTCCACTTATCCAATTCAGGGTCGCCGTTTGGCCCAGCTGTCACAGGCAAAAAGCAGGGCATGCTCCGTATTCCGGTCACCAATCTGTCACCACACACATAGAAACTCACACTCCTATGGTCAATTGATAATAACCAGTTAACCTTACTGGTTTCTGGACTGTGGGAGGAAGCCAGAGTACCCGGAGCGAACCCACGCAGGCACCGTAAAAGTGTTCAAACTACGCACAGACAGGCATCAGACTGGATTTGATCCAGGACCTTCACCACTTGTATTTTCCTTTTGCTGTTGCAGTCATATAAGCGTGGGCTTTGATAAGAAGAGTTTGGAGGATATTTGAGCGCTTGCTTTCCATCCTTACTGTTGTTGAGTAGCTCCATAAAGGTGTCATTAAGAACGTGAGAACGTCACGAGAACGTGTTATGATGGGGCAATAATGCACATTTCCGGAACAACAACAAAACACTGTGATTGATCCACAGCTTTATCTACGCACATTACAAGGCTACTGCAGTGCAAAACAATAGAGACACGCCTCTGTTAAATCACGTATCAAATTAAACAACCCAGGATAATCTCCAGATTGAGCTGCTTTTACGTCAGAAAGAGCTGCTGTCAAATGTAGGCACGTATCGTGGCCCCGTCCCTCTCTCTTTTGAGCTGTAGTGACACAGACCCACCCCGTGCACCCCGTGAACTTGGAAGTGCGATCTTGTTTTCCCACTAAACCCTGCGACTACACCATGTGCTCCCGACTGGGGATCATCGGCCAACGCGTTACGTAATGTTTGCTACTATTGGGCTTGTGTTTTGGGGGTAGAAGGTGAAAGGAGGTAGAAGGAGAAGGAGAGACACAAAGCATCCAGTTACAAGGCAGCCGACTCCTGGAACAACCCTTACATGGTTTTAAGACACCCAGTACATGAATACTGAAGTGGAACTCCAAACCAGGGATTATATGCAGTAGGAAAAAGGAGCAGGGGAAAGGTTTGTTGGACCATGTGCTTATAGTGCAACAATACCTGAGCACTTCTAGCATAATACATAGCATCACTTAGTAAGCTGGTGTGCAGTTATTACATACTGTATTGTGAGAATACGTGGAAATAAGTTTCTCTCATTATGAGAAACCACTTGACTGAACCTGTCTAAATACCTGCCTCCATATAAGCATATCACATCTAAGGCAACACAGCTGTGGCATCTCACAATTAGCAGATGGGCAGAGAGATCACACATATTTTCTGCGTCATCAGGATCCTTAAATTTCTTTCATTATCACAAGCATGACACATTGTCCCCACCCCCGTCGAAACAGCTTCTACATCAGGCTGCAAAACGTGCATGTACTCTCACAAAAGGTCAAAGGTTCAGCTGGAAATGTTCGGTTTCTGGCATCATAGGATATGAAGAAATGTTGATAGCTTAGCTATTGTAAAAGCTACCAAATATCCCAAAAAGTAAAAACTATACGGTTTGGACTGATCAAAAAAATCTAATATTTGACATGATTTCTTGATGTATGCAGTTAAATAAAGTAACGTGTACTCAGGAATACTTCAGTACACTCCTCAACAGATATTTGTCTTTTAAAAACCATACATTGTTCTAGTTAAACCATAGTGCAGTTTAGCCAGCAACAACAACAACAAAAATAAGGCTGTCTGTATCCAGTGCGTAGTACAGCTCATAGTTAAGTACATTGTGGTGCCGTTCTAGTTGTATCGCGCAACATTGCATGAGACCATGCGCCACAGTGATATGCCGCAGAAGCTGAGGGCATGGCCCCGGCCCAGTCTCTGAGAGGGAGCTGGGTGCCGTGACTAAGACCTTGGTTTTCGATGAAAACCCTGCCCGTGGTCATTCATCCCTTGGTGTGAGAGTGAAGTCATTATAATTGTAGACTAGAGAGTTTTTGACGCAAACAAAGATGGGGCAGTGCTAGTAACTTGCACTGCTTATTTATGTATTCACAAAAAACACAAGGCTGGCTCTGTTTTTAAGTCGAGTTAATAATTAAAGTGTGCCTTTGACGTACAGCGACAGCAGCATAAACAGATGAGGTGATCGGGACGGTGTAAACTCGCAGATCTGGTTTGCTGCACTTTGCACTATCTCTCCCGGCCTCCATCGACATCCTCTTCCATCAAAACAGCGGTGGGACGTGCTGACTGTGACTACGTGCGTGTATTTTTTTTCGTTTTGTTCTTCGGTAAGTCCCGCCTCGGGGCCCTACCCCCTCCTAAACAAAACAGACCTGACTGGTTCAATACCAATTCGTGTACGGTGCTCTTTTTTCTTAAGTCTCCATCCTAAAATATGGTCTAGAGTTCAAACGAGAATATAATACATAATCTAAATGGCCGAGCTTATTAAGTTGTGCTTATTGTGTGTCATATTTAAATAACCTTTAGCGTTCTTTCCCTTAAGAAGCTGTAAAGAACGCTTCAACAAAACGAAATGGTACCCTGCCACGATAGCCTTTTCTCGAATATACGCGATCAGTGCGGGCTGCTGACGCATTCCTCGGGAGGGCGGAGTCACGGGAGGTTATAAAAACACCCACACTCGTTCTTCTCAACCACCTTCCACGCACAAACTATCAGTCGTATCCCCCCTTGACGTCCTCTGCGGCTTTCGAAGCTGTGGGTCAAGCAACGACGCTAACACTGGAGCTATAAAAATTAACAACGGGGTAAGTAAGGAGAAAAAGCAGGCTGCTGCGGCTTTGTTTTGCCATTTAAAAGCTAAATGGCTGTTTTTGGAACCGCTATGCAGTATTAACGCTCACTGGCTAATCTTTGTTGTCTGACGTTAAAGTTAATTCTGATGTAACTGTCAACTGGTTTGCACTTGTGGGTTACATTTTGACTGGAGATGTGTTTTTGTGTGTGTTGGTAGCCTTCCTGTAGCGGTTTCACCGTTTTAACCATGGCCTCTAGATATATTTACTCATTAGCCAAACTGCTATGATTTTAATGATCTGTCCTCGTGCTTAACTGTCTGTAACTAACCTAAGGGCGAGCTAAATGGGAGTAACGTTGAATGCTAGCTGTTGCGCTCTCGCGCTCTGTTTGTATGCGCACGCGACAGAGATGAGCCAGCCTGCTGTTTGCCTAAGCGTTTAGTTAATCGTCCACAATCTGGAAAACACGAAGAGTTTAGGTGTTGTGTGTTTTTTTTTTTTACACTGGATTGTAACGCTGGGGTCTCAAATTGTGTCGTCTACAGGGCTCCCGTTTAAAGCGCCGCACCAAGCTGACCAGCTAGCGCAGTGTGATCACTTGCGTCTCTCTCTGAAACGATTTTGTTTGTTTCGGAGAAGTGCAAATTGATTCAAAAACCACTGCCGCCGCATATCCTGATCGGAACCCCCCCACACACCAAATCGAAGCAAAATGGTGCAAAATAAGATCGCCGAAGTCACTGGATTCCACCGCTCCTTCAAGGTGAGCTGGAACTCTATCCAGGGATAGCTCGAGCTCCTGTCACTCCTTTTGGGAAGATTGTAATCAGAGCACGTTTGGCAACATATATGAGAAGGGACTTCACCTAGCTATAGATAAACGCATCTTCTGGCTGACAAACATGGTATACTTCCTGCTGGGCACATGCAGCTGATGAATGTATGGCTCGAGTATGCCACAGCTAATAGTTGAAAGATGACCAAGAAAGATCCTTATGGCCTTGGGACGTTCTTGTGTTGGTGTAACAGATATGAGCGATTATTCAAAATGTGTCAGCCTCTTAGTCTAGTTTGGCTTTATAGTCACAGTAGGTGTTATGACTGACAATAGATGCTCTCATCTTGAATGGTTCACTGAGATTGCACATCATAACAAACATGTTATTACTCCATAGGGGCAAAATCCCTTTGAATCGGAGGACTTCACTAAAAATGGATCCCATCTTATCGATTCATCATTTAATTTTGACTCCTCCCCCAGACATGGTGAGTTTTATGACTAGTTCAGTATAATTCACATAAGTAAAACTTCCCCCTAGTTTCTCTTTCAGTATTTGGGATTTGTTTGCATTCCTCTATCAATAGCTGATGGTAATGTAGGCACTCCTGTTTTGACAGACATGCCTTCCAGTCAGCCTATTGACATCCCCGATGCCAAGAAGAGAAACAAGAAGAAAAAGCGTTGCCGGGCAACTGACAGTTTCTCTGGAAGATTCGAGGGTAAAAGCTTTCATTCCTAGTTGTTATAAAAACAGCTGTATAAGCTGCTCTCCTTCATGTAATTGTGTTTTGCTAACTTGCTGTTTTTGCCACAGATGTCTACAGACTGCAGGAAGAGGTCTTGGGAGAGGGTGCTTATGCCAGAGTGCAAACATGCATCAACCTCATCACCAATAAAGAGTATGCTGTAAAGGTAAGACACTGCCACGCATTCAGTGGATACAGTGTGCTTTAATGTATTGTTGTCAATGAAACCTTCCTATAGGAGATGCTAGAGTTCTAGGACTCTGTTTGGCTGCTTTACAGTTAGAGGGTTGGATTACGTAATGAAATTCCTTTGTGTGAAGAGGCTCTGAGCCATGAGAGGAATTTAATATAAGTAAACTGGGCTATTGCATCAGTGTTTCTATTGTGCTTCCTTTTCACGTCTTTTTCTTGAGAAATTTTGAGGAAAGTTTTGGTCTGGGACAGGATGCCTCTTTATCTTTTCTCTCAGTTCAGCTCTCTGTAGTGGTTTTCTGCAAACTTTCCTCTGTTGCGCTAGTGATGCACTTTTTGTGTAAAAGACTAGCTGCTGCTAGTAGACACGCCCCCCCTCTCTTTTTCTAGCTCGTCAGCCAATCAGAGAGCTGGAAATGATATACCCTCCCCCTTTCTTTACAGCTTGCACAGAGAACATTGTGTGCTGCTAGCTGTGCCAAAACAAAACCCACAGAAAGGAAGGAGGGGTGATGGGTGAGGGTTGTGACCCGGTGTGTTTACACTGCTTTGTTCTCACTCTGTACAGTTACTTTTTCGATTTCCTTTTTGAATGGCGTGAGGACTTGTATGCACATGTTCAACTCTCGGGGACTTCCTTTTTTATTACAAAGTCATTTCCTTGTTTTAGGAGCAAAACATTGTGAAATTTTTATGTATTTATTTATTTTTTTTGCTGAAGTGTGCAAAAATTTTAATAATCCACTTTTTTTTCTTTTGAAATCCCATTTGCTCATTGGACATAAACATTAATTAGTTATTCCCCAGATTTTGTTCATGTATGGATCAAGTCTGAGTTAAAGGCTGCTTCTTTAGTGCAAGTGTCCATATCTTATTTTTTTTTCCTAATTAATATTTCAGAGGTGCTGTACACAGATCCTCATGTGACTGATCAGTTAGTTTGTCCCAGAGTGATTTGTTATGGATCCCTTGGGACTATGCAGTCCTGGGGGAGGAGGTAGGACAGTCTGCTGGGAGTCGAGGGGGACTCAGACTACTCCTGCCAGATGTCCCGTCTCTCCCCTCCCCCTCTCTAGACACAGGGGGAGTAGGGGGGTGAACTGCATGTGCGGGCTCTGTTGCAAACGCAACAAAAGCTTCAGGCATCCATAGACGCACAGAGGGCCGAGCAGCGTGTGTCTGAAGGCTCCCAAACAAGTCCTGTTTAAAGCTATTATTTCACAAGCCTGGGTTGATGTTAGAACCTGCAGTGAGGTCTCGCTTTTCAGCAGGCTGATGTTTCACGAGCTGCAATTTGGATAAGCGACCTTAAATCTACCACTTTAAAAATAGTGTCCTCCCATTTGGGATTGCAATGCATTCTTCAACCTTATAGTTTCTGTATGGAAACATCTACCAGGGTGGGAGTTCTGCTGTGGCAGGAGAGGGTGAGCTGATTGTTGTCCTGCTGACTCAGACTGGAACAGTACACGGGCTTTGGACTGCTCACAGGCCTCTTGTCCGTGTATTAATCCTAGACACATACTGCAGCTCTGGCCCCAGTGGGCTTCAATAGCAGCTGTAATCCAGCTACCAGGAAGAGAAGCATGCACAGCCTCCCAAGCACACAATAACAGACCAGAGCTGGAAAATTCAGGCTTTTTGCTTTGGTGTCAGCAGTCTATCTTTCTGTCTCTCTTGGCACAGCATTATGCAGCTGGTGGCCCTCACTGCTGTAGTTCCCGGCAGCTCTGTTATTTTTAGAGCAGTTTTGATAATTGTAAACATTTTGGATTAGGTCATGGGATGTTTTGAAGGGAACACTTATGGCTCCTTAAGATTTACATATGGGTTGTGCATAAAGGTTAAACATAGAGACTGGGGGCTGTTATTTTCATTCAGCTCTGTCTCTGGTATGCTGGGCAGTGCTGAAAGTAGGTTAAACTATCTCTGCAAGTGTGTCACCGGGTAGGATAAAGGTTGGCAAGCAGGAAAACGTTGGGAAGGAAGCTCATTATAGGGGACTGCATATGGACTGTATAGTGAGCTCTATACCGTCTGCTTTCTGTTAAACACAGCCACAAGTGGGGTTTGTGGTGCAGTGAGAGAGTGGCTGCCATGCCCACAAATATGTATACTAAGCACTTTAAGAATTGTCCTCCATCCTGTTCTGTATAAAAACACAAAGTTCTGCTGAAAATGGGCTATTTCTGGACAAAGTGGGCTCAGCTTTGGTGCTTTTCTGTTGCAGATAATCGAGAAAAGGCCGGGTCACAGCCGCAGTCGTGTCTTCCGTGAGGTTGAGATGCTCTACCAGTGCCAGGGCCATAGGTAACTTTCTGCTGTTCTGACAAAACTAAAGCCACTTGACAGTCGTATGGAGGCAGTCACAAAGCCCTTTATTCATCATCACACTGCAGACCTCCAATGACTCGGTGCCTTTTTGTTTTCTGCAGAAACATCCTGGAGCTGGTGGAGTTTTTTGAAGAGGAAGACAAATTCTACCTGGTGTTTGAGAAGCTCAGAGGAGGTTAGTAAATTACAGCTGCTAGTTTACAAAGAAATTCTGCTGCTTTGGTGAGTGTGTTTGAAAGCATTTAGCTTTTAAATGGAGCTAATGGACTCTCATTTCCCTCCTAGGGTCAATCTTGGAACACATTCACAAGAGACAGCACTTCAGCGAGCAGGAGGCCGGTCTCGTGGTGCAGGACATTGCCAGTGCTCTAGATTTCCTTCATAACAAGGGTAAGATCATTTGAACAAAATGGCAAGCAGTATTACTGCTCACAGTTTCAAATTAAATATGGATATAACAGGCATCTTTTTGTTTTTAGGAATGGCACATAGAGACCTGAAACCTGAAAACATTCTCTGTGAGAGTGCACACAAGGTGAGTTCACTGCAGAGATATTTATGCCTAAACGTGTTTCAGAGGTCAGCTGATGTGTTGATAAAGCTGCTGCTGGCCTTTTGTTAAAATCTGCTCTTTTTCTCAGATATGCCCGGTCAAGATCTGTGACTTTGACTTAGGCAGTGGGATCAAGCTGAACAGTGACAGCTCACCCATCTCCACCCCTGAGCTCCTCACTCCTGTAAGTTACTCATCCAAAAAATGTTTTTTAAATCGCTGATCCAGGAGCAGATTAATCAGTTACACCGTGACATAGTGATTTGTTTTCTTGCTGTGGATAAAAGCGGCTGTAAATGTGTTTATCAAGTCTCACCTGGCTGATCATTGGCCAGTCCTCAGTGGGGTTAACTGATGTTTACACTAGTTTACTGCTGGGCAGTTTCTCTGAAATGGCATGGATTGCTTCCTGGATGTGCCAAATTTTATGTTCCTCTTATCGTGCTGGATACTTCAGTGTGTTAACATTTGGAAGCATATCTGTCTATTTAATGTTGATGTCCGTTGATGTCTAATCAATAGCAAACACTGAGGGGTCATGAGCTTGAGTTTGGGGGTTATGATTGTTTAACTTTGTGGCTGTCGTCACAACACAAAGCGTTACCACTGAACAGTGTCCAGAACAGCAGGAAACCCTCAACCTCAGAGAGGAGTGGTAAAGTTGAACTGGCAAGCTTTCTACTTGTGTCAACACTTGCTCTGTCTGCTGCTTATCTAGTGTGCTGAATAGATGGACCAGAGCAGGTGAAGGATGGCAGCTCAGCCCTCAGGAATGTGGTTTGGTGGGTGGGGGCTTTCGGCATTGGTAACTTCATCTTCCTTGCACAGAAATAATGGATGGTGGGCCCATCCCCGGACTTGTTGAAGGGGATATGGTTTGGGGCCAAGAGGTGTCATGTGCTTTAGTCTCCCTCGGGTTAAGTTGATCCAGTAATATATTAAAGTGTTCGTTCAATGGGAGAAAAGCCTCTGGAGTACAGAAGGTGGTGTGATAGCCCTGGGATGTAACACTGGAGGGTACATGATAACTTTTACAAGGCTGTGTCCTGTGATATGAAGGAGTCGCAGTGAAAACCCCCACAAGCGTTTGCTTATTTCTCCTTTCTCTCTGTGTGGTGAGAGGAAAAAAAAAACATACACCCTCTTCTTTCAGCTCAGTCTCCGCCCAGTGGCCCCAACCACTCTTGTGCTGGTCTGCGCTTTCTTTATGTACTTCATACAATAGCTGTGCATAAGGCTTGTTCTAGAAATTTTAGTCTCTCTCCCCCCACACATGGCAACTGAGATGTGATTGGATAGCCCGGTGGGAGGGGGAGGATAACTGGGAGGTGCAAACTCTGCCCGCTCATGCGCTCTGGCTTGTTTTCCTTGCTTGATCACAGGAACAATGTTATGATTTTCATCTCACGACTGGCACTCTCTCTGGGCCCCCTGTAACCACTTTACTGCTGTTGCACAATATGCACTTTTGCATGTGAAGCACAGTTCTATGGTTCTCAAATACATTTTATGATTTACAGGTTTACTGTAAATGTAGTGGTGCTATACTGGGTGTAAACTGGGAAAATAGGGACTCGAATGAGCCGAGATAGACCCTTCTAGGAAAAAGGCTAATTTTAGTTTACTAGGAATTCTGCGTGAGTGATTGCCCACCTATGTGCCCAGTGAGATGTAATTCTGGCTGTTCGAATGCCGAGGCTTAAATGTAGCAGCTGGAAACTGTAACACTGCACACAAGCAGTTTAGTCTGTTTAATTGAGGAAACTGCTTGTTTGTACCTGTCATAAAGGTAGGTGCAGTTTCTTGAGGACAGAACAAGTCTTCTTCCTGTAAGCCTCTCCTAGTAATCCTTTCATTTACAAACACCAGAGGTGTGTCATCGGTGCTGTGGGTATGGTGTGACTAGTCACATGGTCGTAGGAAAGCCCCAGGTTGCAATACCGACAAATCCTGTGGTAACAGCAGCTGATTAACAGCTCTCTGCAGCTTACTGGAAGGTTTGAAGAGGATGTGACTGCAAGTTCGCAAGGTGTGCAACAGCACAGGAAGAACAAATGCAAGTTTATGTTTATAAGTCTGTGCCAAAGAGCCACGATTACTGTTATTTGACTGCCCTCTTTTAGCCCTTATCAGCTGCAGGTAGTCATGGACTGGCTATCTATGTCCTGACTTGTTTGTGATTCAGGGGTGGTAAAGCAGCTTTTAAACACGATTAGCCTTGATAGCTGTTTATGATAACACAACTATTGCATTAGTCTTCAGTTTCAAAGTACCTTGGTTGGCAAAAAAAGAGAGTGTGTGTGTGCGGCAGCTGCATTTGACTTGAATCCTGGAGGATTGTCTGTGTAAGCAGTTGCCCCAGACTCGATGATGGCGGAAACATGGGGGTTGGGATTTTCTTTGTCTGAAATGCGATTCCTGTGCAGCAAACTTCATTACATAAAACTGGAGGTGGAGTTAGCAGACAGCTGGTTTATGTTACTGGGACACAATGGAGGCCTGCTCAATGTAAACATGTGCCCCCACAGATGGAATGAAGGATATGTGGAGGACTTCATGACAAAAGGACTAAAGCGTCTCAGAAATGAACATGATCTTTGTCCTGCTGAACCAACGACCTGCTTTTTCCCCACCTAAAACTATTAAAACAGTACTTGCTGTTTGTGTTCTCAAGTTATGTAACTGACCAGGGCTCAGCCCAGTCTCTGGGTATGCAGGACAGCCAATCCTCTTTTCCATGCTCGGGGTTTGGCCTAATTTCTCTCCTAGCTACATAACAACATGCTGGTAGAGCCGAGTCTGTCCTTGCCCTCAAAGTCTGCCTGGGCTGTGTACAGCTGCGTGATCAAAGCACTGAGTCACCACTCGCTGTCTACCCACACAAACCTGCCTCATAACACGTTCCAACTAAGAAATGTTCAACGGACTAAGACGAGCAGTTTTGTAGATTAAGTGAACCCATTACTGCAGATAATCATGCGACTGTCTCATAGACTGCCCCCACCCCACAAGCTAAGAGTGGGGCCTTAGCTTTCACACTCGGAGCCACGAGGTGTCAGCTGAGTGAAAGAATGTGGCAGCAGCCAAGCAAAGCGTCTCTTTTTTCCTCTGGTTTAACTCTTTCATGCTGCGCTTTGTTGTGTTTTTCGTCCCTTGGGGCTAACGCACTGGCTTTCTTGTTCTTCTTTTAGTGCGGCTCAGCAGAGTACATGGCACCTGAGGTAGTTGAGGCCTTCAGTGAAGAAGCTACAATTTACGACAAGCGCTGTGACCTGTGGAGTCTTGGAGTCATTCTGTACATCATGCTAAGTGGCTATCCTCCATTCGTAGGCCGCTGTGGTGGCGGCTGTGGCTGGGAATTAGGTGAACCCTGCCACACCTGCCAGGTAAGACTGATAAATTCATTCCCGTGAGTTTTGTTTGTCTTACGTTATCTTTGTGAGTTCAGAGCAAAGTAACATTTGCAAATGTTTCGCATCTGTTTACAGAACACTTTATTTGAGAGCATCCAGGAAGGAAAATATGAGTTTCCGGAAAAAGACTGGGCTCACATCTCCTCAAGTGCCAAAGACCTGATATCCAAACTTCTGGTCCGGGATGCCAAAAGTCGTCTGAGTGCCAGTCAGGTGCTGCAGCACCCCTGGGTGCTGGGGGTGAGTCTGAATCCACCACTATGCCACTTTTTTTGCATTTTAGGCAAATCACAGTAAAGTTGTTCAAACAAAAAACCAATAACATGACTTTGATTTTTCAGGGTGCATCTGACACTTTGCCAACATCCATCTTACATCAGAGGTGAGAAATTAAGAGTGACAAGACACTCTGACAATAAACATTTCCAACTTTATACCTGCTTTGATCACAGTTTAATCTCTTTTCCCCTTTTCCTCATCAGGACCAGCAGTGCCAGGGATCTTACAGTTTTTGCAGATAAGGCCATGGCTGTGAACCGGCAGCTGGCTGAACAGGATGGCATGGAAGAGCAGCAGCAGCAGGAAGTCCAATTTTTTGTTACCGCTTCTGGCTCGTCTATGCGCCTCTCTCCTCCTTCCAACTCCAAGCTGGCCAAGCGCAGGCAGCGAAGCAGCCAGCCGAAAGGTGGGCCCGTCTCTGCCGCGGAGCTTCGTCAGCTCTTGGCCCCCCTCGTCATCGTGGGAGACTGTGCCTGAACTTTCCCGACCTTCCGTTATGATTCAAGTCCTGTTCCACGACTGCCCTGAGACTCTTCCTCCTCAGTTCTGGCCCCTCTCTGGCCTCGGTCCCTCTGCTATTCAGGTTCTCTTGCCAGCTGTAAAGGGAGATGCTGCCTGCAGCCCTTCCTCTAAATGCCTTCTGCCCTTCTCCAGCACTTCTGAAGCACATCAGCACAGGGCCTGCATATAGCAAACACAGCTATGTGCACTTCCAGGTTGGGGAGGAGGGCCAGTTAATGACTCGTTGGACAGCAAAGTATTTTCTAAGTTATGTTGGTTTTTTGTTTGTTTTTTTCCTCATGCAACTCAGTTCAGAAGAAATCCGAACATAGATCTTCGAAACTAAGCTCAGACACCAAAGGACAACCTGTTGTGCTGCTCCCACGTTACAACTGGATCCACTGTGAATTAAGTTATCTGGAATGTTTTTTGCCTGTATGTATATGCACGAATGGCCCATCTGCACATACGTACAAGCTTATGCAATATGCCGAGATGAAGGCTGTTCCTGTCTTGAAAGGATTCAGTGTAATAAGGGTTGGAAGGGCTGTAAGCCAGTGCTGTCCGTGCCTGAGGCGCGTTGGCTGGAGACTCTTCAAAGTCTATTTTGTTTTCTTTGTTCCCCCCCGTTTAAGATGAGCTCTTTACAGCCGACTCTTGTGTAAATGTCTGAGATGCGCACTTATCCAGCTCGGTCGCCGTGCACTTAGTGCTCAAAGGGCAACGGCTGTTTGTACCTGACCAGCTACGACTTGCCGCTGCATCGGTTGATGCGGTTTTTCCTTTTCTTCTAAATTGAATCTAAAACTAGTGAATTGATTTGACTTGGTCATGCTTGATGGCTGCCGGGGAGGGGGGAGGGGCCAAAGCTCATAGCGTGTATATCTGGCTTATTAAGCTAATTATACAGTACTTAAAATGGCTACGCAAGTGAACTGGGTCAGTGTTACTTTCATTGTAAAGAATTTGACGTCCCCTTGCTACAACCAGAATTTGTTTTTGTTTTTTCTACAGATCAATTTATGGATTTAACTTTAAATATTTTGGCAGTAAAAGTTTAAACTCCTGTGAAGGGGTTGAAAAGCACATTTTGCCCAATGTGACCAGACTGTCATTTGTTGATCAGATTTATTTGGACCATCATCTTCGTCCTCCTCGTCCTTCAGGGTCTCAACGTTGTCTCTAACGACACGCCGCCCCTCCCAGAATGATGTCACAAATTTTCTTTCAATGTTAGAGGCAGACGGGAAAAATAAAATAAAATAAACACAAAAAGGAAAAACATTCCACAAAAAGACAAAAAAAACTTCAGACATTTAGCTGTATAAAGTTTACTTTTTTTTT